TGGTCCCTGCGGGCACGGCGGTGCACCCGAGAGTGCAGCACCATCTGGTGGTAGGTGCGGAAGATCTTGCCGCACTCGAAGCACTCGGAGGACTTGCCTTGGCCGGCTGGGGTGGTAGCCCGGCGGCTGGGGCGTGAGGCGGGCCTAGGGTCCAGGGACCCAGGTGCAAGGTCCCCTGGTGCGCCTGCCCTCTTTCGTGGGGGGCCCTGCGCACCAGGCTCCAGCTCACGCTTGCGCTTCTCCTGGCTCACCAGGATGTACTCGCGCCGCTCCTTGTCAAAGGCCACATCCCCAGCCAGCGCCTCGTCCCACGTCCCGTACTTGAGGTACTCGGCCGGCTCGACCACCTTGCCCCGGGTGGCCAGCTGCCAGGCCTGGTAGCTGTTGACCGGGTCCAGCTCGGCCACCCGCTGCCCGGTCTGTCCGTGGGCTGGTGCACCGGTTCCAACGGGGCACAAGTTCAGGCACTGGAGGAAGAGCTGCTGGGAGTCCGCAGGGCCGAGTTCGCCCTCCCCGCTCAGGGCCCGAGTTCTGCCCGCCTCCACCCTGCGGTGGACTGCGTTGTGGGCATTCAAGCTGTCCAGGTTTGTAAACAGGTTCCCGCACTTGGTGCAGACTTCATAGAGGGCCAGGCCGGCCACGATCGCCTCCTCCTGCACCACGTTGTTGATGGTGGCGATGGGGTCCAGCTCGCTCTTGGGCCTGTTCTTGCTCCCCGCCTTGGGGCCATGCGCCTTCATGTGGTTTTTCAGGAACCACGGCTCTTTGAACCTCCGGCCACAGATGTGGCAGCCGTGGTCGAAGGAGCCCCTGTGCTTCTTCATGTGCGCCTTCAGGAACCAGGTCTGGCTAAAGGCCTGGCCGCACACCTCGCACGGGAACTCCCCAGGCGGCAGCTCCGGCTTGCCGTTCACCACGCAGGCCTCCCCACTGGGCACCTGTGCGGTGATGTGGTCCTTCTCAATGTGGCTCAGCAGGGACTCCTCCCTCAGCGTCACGTAGCTGCACAGCCGGCACTTAAAGGGCTTGTGTGCCCGGTGCACGTGACGCTCCAGGTCCTTCTTGCGCTCGAACTTGCTCTTGCAGAAGGAGCACTGAGCCACTGCCCCGCCATCCTCCCCAGAGCATGCGGCCCCCTCCGCCTCCTTCCTGCTGCTCCTCAGCAGGATCTTGCTGTTGTCCAGCTGCGTGGCGCCATTGAGGATCCTGTTGCAGGCCGAAGTGCTTTTCGTGGGGCTGGTGCAGCCGTCCAGGCCCTCGGACACACGCGTCTCGCCGGCCTCAGGCTCATGGCCCTGGATCAGAGTCCCCGTGCGGTGGCTGCGAATGTGGATCTTGAGGTTGCCCTTCTGGGAAGCCCTGTGGTCACAGTAGGGGCACTTGTAGGGCTTCTCACCCGTGTGCTTGCGCATGTGCTGCGACAGGGAGCTCTGGAAGGGAAAGCTTTTGCCGCAAATGCAGCAGCTGTGGCTCAGGGCCTTATCCCCGGCCACCTCGGGGCCCCTGCGCAGCTCCATCTCGGCCTCCTGCTGACGATCCATCTCAAGGACACGGGCAAGCTCAGCCAGGGTGGCAGGGCTCTCTGTCAGGCAGGCCTGCAGGACAAGGTCTTATCTCTCCATGTTCAGAGGAGCCTCCTGCTTCCCAGCTGCAGACGCGCCTGCCACCACAATGTGCATGTCCTACCTGGAGCACATGGTGGAGGGCAGCGAGCACCTGGAACAGAAAAGACACAGAGAAGAGCTTAGGAAGGAGGTGTGCAGGGGAACAGAGACCCGGTCACATCCACCAATGGACCCACATGGACCTCCTTAAAAACATCAATCCAATCCAAATTAAAGAAATGAGGCACCAACAAAAATTCAAACAGATGTATAAGCAGCTACTTTCCTTTCAAAGATCAACAATCAAGCAATTAATTATTGATAATGATCGTGTTAAATAATTAAAACAAACCAATGTAAATGACTATGCACTAAAATAATTTTTATCAGAAAGATATAAAATCTTTAAGAAAAGACTGGTGAGAGTTTGTGGGCGTGAGACACAGCTATAAAAGAGGAGAGCGTGGGAAAAAGCAGCAAAGTGAAATGAGGGGGGAACGATGGCAAAGATCGGAGGCAGAGCTCCTGCGGGGCCGTGCAGCTGTGAACAGCACCTACAAAGGTGTGCAGACGGTAAGGAAACGAGTCTTCAGTTAAGAACTTGGATGATATAGTAAAAGAGAAGCAATGCAGTGCAGAAAGGGAACCCTCAGCTGCTTCAAGGTCTGTGCCCTGAACCAACTACCCCAGGACTGGGTGGCCGACGCTGGCTACCCCACGGATACCACCCCCGGTGTGTGTGACCACAAGAGCATTTCCAGAGCAACATTCGGTCCTTGCCGCCTCTTAAAGCCCAATCTCTTCGGCCCACCTTTCTTGCCATCCTGGTCCTGTCCTTTTTCCCCTGCACTCCTACCCCCGCTGTATCCCCAAAACCACCCGAAACTCTGGCCACAGGGCTGAGTCCTCGGTGCGGAAAACCCTGCTGACTCCAGGAGATTGGGCGGCGTCCCCACTTCTCCACAGTCAGACCCCACAGTGCCCTCCCGGGGAGGCCAGGTCCACCTCTCCCTGGTGACAGCAGATGTATCATCACTGTCACCTTCATGCCCATCTGCCTTCCAGAGAATGACGGACAGGCCCTGGTTTGAGCCGCTCCTCCAGGCACCTGGGCGTGTCCAGCACCCTGTGCACAATCCAAGGCGCACAGTGGGCAAGCCTCTACACTGTGAGAAACCCAACCAAACACCTGTACACCACCAAATGGGCCCAAGACAGTCCACACTGAAAAGCAACCATGTGCCATAAAAACAGGAATTTCCTTCTGACTTGTGATAAGCAGAATGCGACAAATAATGCGCCCATTAGAATGCACGTGGGAGATACCGCATCTTTCAGGACAGAGTTCTGACAGGTTAGCTAGGGACGGAGGGCCCACCTGGCTCCCCTGGAACAGGGCTGGTTCTCCTCCTGCATTGAAGGAGGCCCACTCAGCAGCCCCTCCCGATGCACACAGTCCACTGATGATGTTTTTTGCAAACCTTTTAGCAATCAGTTAAAACGTAATTCTCTGCCACTGGCTCGCTTCAGTGGCCAAATCAACAGACTTCTGTGACCATACTTTTGTCAGCAAAAATTGCCATTTAAGACACAGTCATCCTTTCTTTTCCAAAAAAAAGAACAAGAACACTGTCCTCGGAACTTTGCACTTAAACATGGGCCCGGGGCAGCCATCCCAGTGACAGGGTTATGGGGACGTTATCAGCCCTCCTGGCACTAAGGGCTTTGCTGTCCTATTTTTATAAGCCCTTCAGCCTCTGGGAGCCAGGGGGAGGAGGGGGTCTCAGATGCTTTCTCCCCATTTACCGTGGCCCCTGTCGGGAGTGATTCGCACTTCCAAACCTTCAGGTAACACAGACACTACGAGGAGGGGTGGGGGTAGAGAGCCAATGCACGTCCATGTGTCTTAGCTGACATGTGACAAGTCACCACAGACATGCGCAAAGCACAAAGCACAGCCCCGCTGACCACATACTTTGCCCATAATGAATCAGAGTTCTGTTGTTACTGTCTGACACACTCTTCCCAAGGCTGTCACTGGGAACTTGCCAGACGAGACTGTAATTTCATTGTTTAGGCATAAAAATGGCTTGCTGATTAGGGTTTTAAAATAGATTTCCAATGGATGTTCCCGTGTGTGTGTGTGTGTGTGTGTGTGTTTCTCTAGAGATGAATAAAGAGTTGGAAGCTACTTTTTGAAAATGCCTTATGTAATTTTCAAAATAGATTTTATTTTGAAAAGGTTAATATTTATAAAAATTGAAAAAATTAAAATGTTTACTAAAGAAACTAAAAACGTGTGTTCATAACGTAAGAATGCATTCTAATGGGCACGGGGAGGGGTTTAGGGGGACAGAACATAAAAGTCATGAAAATAACCTGTTTAAGAAATCAGCATGTGAGCGCACAAAGAAAGGCAGCGGCAGGTCTGCGTGCATATGTCAGGCTGCCGCCCTACCTCGGAGACTTACTTTCTTGGACTGCAGAGCACAACTGAAATAAAGAGACTTTCCCAAGACTGCTAACACTTAATGTAGGTAAATTTAATCTGTGGGTAACTGTTTCAACTAAAACAAACCCTTCTGTAAGTGAGGACCCTGGGAACTGCATCTTCAGCCTCAGCCCAGAGAGGTCACTTCCTGCAGCAGCACGCCCAGGTGACCCACTGCACGGGGACTGCTTCCCACACCTGTCCCAGGGAACTCCTGTGAGAGCCAGTCTCACAAAGCTAAGACCTGAGACACACACCACAGGGAGAAGCACTGTAACGTAGCCAGAGGGCCTATAAGGAACCCTACGCAGCCTCTATCAACCTCTGATCCCCACAGGACCTAAGGCCCAGGGCTGCCTGCAGCCTCACACTGAACAACAGGGTTCATCACAATCCCTGAGGGCCTACTGTGCGACAGGTGACGTCTGGGAATTTAACAACCAACGGTGACTAAGAAACAGGCTTAGCTTCGAGGAACCCAAAAGTCAGAAAGGACACACAGTGGGAAAAAAGGATACTGGCGGTGCCCCAGCTGGGCAAGTGCAAGTTTCCGGAAGGGTAGGGAGGGAAGTGATGACCTGCATTGGCAAAGCCTGGCTGGTCCTCTCAGGGGAGTCCAGGAAAGTCTAGGAATAGATGGTCTCAGCTAAACTTCAGGGGTGAGAAGGACTGCCCAGTCCCAAGGACCCAACCCCAAACACTCAAGGTCTTCCCCAGCCCTAACCTCTGTCTCCCAGCATCCCATAATAATGTTCATCCTGTTCGCTGTATCTCCAATTCAGCCTTGAATCCACACCCCCTCTCATCTCAGCCAAAACTGCAGTTCCAGAATGCACGTCTGGACAACCTGAGACCGAAACCTGCACAGGTGTGCACACCCTTCAGATGAGGCCACACTCCCCACCTGGGCTTAAAGGGCTGTATCCTGCACCAAGGACACATGTCCCCAGGCCCCCCAGTTCATGACCTCGTGTCCTGCCCACACCCCAGCAGAACACACACTCACAGTACCTCTGGGCCCTGCCACACATCAGTCACTGACCTTCTCAGGGGCCTCATTTGAGCCCCTTTAGCATGAGACTGAGTTGGGCCCCTGGAGTGGCCCTGCCCAGCACTCTGCAGGGTCCAGCCCTATCTCAACACACATCTGGACACATTACTATTCCCACTTTTTTAATCCCTCACACACTCGTATGTGAGACAATATATTTTGTGAGGGCAGACCCACAAAATATCGAGCTTTCTCCCCACTAAATCCCATTCCCTAGCACAGAACCAGTCACACAGTGGGCCTCACAGTGCTGGGAAAGAAGGTCTTGACCTTGAGCTTCAAGGTCAGACACACTGAGCTGGAATCCCATTCTGCCACTCACTTGGATCAACTGTGTGACCTTGAACAAGTGTCTTAACCTCTCTGCTCCCCAGCCCATTTCTTCATCTTTAAATGGAAATGATGGTCATGGTATCCATATTATAGTATTTTGTGAGGTTTAAATTAACGCAAGCAAGGTAGAGTGTTTAACACACAGTAAATGTTCCAGGTATTATAATTAGTTAATAATTGTAGAATAAATGAATGAAATGTCAATTCAGTACCCAAAGATACATTGTCACTGGCAATGACAATATTTGATTTGCTCAATTCAAAAGGGCAAACTAAGAGCTCCGGAAGCGAGCACGGAAACACCCTCCAGTAACACCTGGGCCACAGCTTCACAAACGGTTTCAGCACCAGGACCGAGTCTTCCACCAGCAGCTGCGGTCATCACAGCAGGCCCAGCTCGGAACCTGCAGAAAAACTAGCTTCGCCGTGGACTGGGCGGGACAGCAGACGACACTGAGAGCTTCCGTGACTTCTCTCGGGTCACTCGTGTCAGGTCGCTAATGTGGGAAAATGGGCTCGTTTTTTGGAGGCCTGTGATGAAGTACTTTACAGACAGTTCATCAAAAGAGAGAAAGCAAATTGCTGCCTCTCCCGGTCGGGGGTGTGCATGTCTATTACTCTTTCTGTTTTACTCTGCAGATTTTTTTTAACATTTTTCACACACACACACACACACACACACAATGATTCACATTTGGGACCCCAGTAACACAATCGAGTAACACAATTGAGAACTCCTGTGGGCCCCTTCTCCCACCTCTCCCCCTCCACCACCTCTACAGCACCCCTAACCCCTCCCCAACTTACCTCCTCCACCACTCCCCCATCCCTCCCACACCCACTTCCCCCCTCTCCCTTCAGAGGCCCCCAGGAAGCTCACAGGGCTCTAAGCAATGCAGTTAGAAAGTACCTTCTGTTCATTGGAGTGTGTGAAATTCAAAGAAAGTAAAAGCATCTGAGTAATAAGTAACTGTTTAAAAGCAAAGCAGGATTTTATTTTAAGAGATTGCTTGCTGATGTCTCAGGCTCGCCCAGAGACATCGAGGAAGCCACCCCGAGCTCCAGGGCTGCAGACAGCGCAGTGTGACTACCACCAGCCAAACTGGACCAGCCCAGCTCACAGGGGCATTCACTGGGATCCCTTCCATAGCTTCCCAAGGCAAAAACCAGCAATGCTGTTGAGGGTTTTCTTCCATATTTCAAACCACCACTTTCCAACCAGTTAAATATGATATTA